TCTTCTGTGCTCATTATGGTGTTAAGCAAGTGAGACAAAGGCTCTTTCAGCACCTGTACATACACAGTTCTTGAGAAAAATTGGCGTGATCTCATCAGGCCCTGGACTAGAGTTTTGTTCCAGCGATATGATGGCGGTTTTGACTTTTTCTGCTGTGAATATTATGTTGATAATTTCAGTCCTGGAGTAGGTTTCCAAGGGAAGTGTGGGTTTATTTGTGTTCTGATCCAGTAATGTGTATACGCTTTCAAATTGCTCTGCAAAGCATTCTGCAATTTCTTGGTTTGTCTCAAATGGTTGTTGGGATGCATTATCAACTATGGTAAAGTTTTTATGCTTGGAGTTGAGGCTGCGAGTTATGTATGCATAGAATTGTTTGTCGTTTGTCAGTAGATTATGTTCATAAGTTTTTCTTGCCCTCTGCACGCTTTAGTTTTGTTGTTTTGTTGTTGATACCTCTGATAGTTATCTTCAGTTTTGGATATTTTATATTTATGCCACAGATTTCTTTTTAGCTGGATCTCTTTAAATAGGTACTTCTTTAGTCAGCCACGGTTTTTGCTTGTTAACTTTTTGAGGTCTTATTGGTATGTTTATGTTGATTGATCTGTTTATTGCTTCGTAGAAGGTGTCAATATTTGTTTGATTTGCTACCTAATGTAACTCTTGCTGGAGTGAGTTGTTGACAGCATCATAGTCAGCTTTCCAGAACTGTCTCTCTTGTAAACCTTGTGAGTTGGCTGAGTTATAACTTGAAATTGCGTTGTGGCTGTAAATACTACATGGTCACCTTTTCCCAGCGGTGCATGTTGGTGAATATCGAAAATTAGTTTCTTCTCATTTGTTATAAGTAAGTCTGGAAGTGATTGCTGGGCATTTCTAATTATTGTTGGGAAATTAACATGTTGGTGCCCTCTGTGGTTTTTGTAACTCTCCAGGAAGTCATAACTGCACTGGTTGTGTGGATGAATTACTAGTTTATCCCAGGTGATTTCAGGGTAATTGAAGTCTCCCATGATAAAGACAGGCTCTTTTAATGTCATAGCAATTTCAATAGCTCGTATCAGTCCTAAGTTAAGCTCTACGGTTGTTTTTTGCTTTTGTCTATATACACAAGCCACTAGGAACCTAAAATTGCTGATTTTAACTTCAAGCCATTCAAGTAAAAGTTTTTACGAATTTCTCAGAATGAAACTACTTCTAATAAAGAAATAAGCTGAACTTCAAAAAACTCCTGAAAAATGAAAATAAACCCCGATCTCCTGATAGCATAAATAGAAATTTTAGTGCACAGTCAATGTGTAGGCTCACGCATAATAATGTTTTAACTCTATACACATCCATCATAAGATCGCATAATTTTTTATATTTCCTAAATACTTCTGTTTTATTTTTCAAAATATTTATTTTTGTTCCCGATTCACCTAATTCTGCAAGAATAATTACTAACCGTTCAACACAACTAGTTGAATACTCCCACTAACAATAGTACCACCTTTTTTGGTATAGTATTTCCAAACTCAATTGGAACACGGTATACCAACCGGTGGCTGACTAGTCACTGAGAATTTCCATAAGAAATGCACTGCTACTAGTCAGCCACCAGTTATAATTTATATTCACCTGGTTCCAATTAACTTTGAAAAAACTATACCAAAGACTTCCAAATGCAGGTGGGTATGTTATACCGTGGGTAAGTATTACGACTAGGGACTGGAATGTCTTGACTTTCCAAAGGGCCCTAATTTTCACTCTCCTACCTAGGCCCAAGCCAAGTCCTACTTAGTTTAGGATAGTGTTTGTCATTATTGATCACCACTCACCCGCATTCAAACAACTCATAGAAAACAAGTATGTTGATATGTTGTTCCAAACAAGTTTTTTTTTTAACCCTAAACGCCCAAAAACGTTCACTTTGAGGCTCGAAATGAAGGCTTTTGAGCGGGACACCAAAAAAAAAATCTTTGACCACAGGCACCTACGTAAGGGTGCTATATCTCTATGGGGCGGCGCAAATGTTCTTCTTTGCACGCGGGCGGCCGATATCCTAGGATCGGCCCTGATCGGGGAAACCAAATGTGTTTATTGCCTAACCCCATTCACTTGTCTTGGGGGCTAGCTGCTCCTAATGATTTTTCTAAAATGAGAACCTACCCCGTGTGATAGCTCCTTTGAAAGGTTATTTAATCGTCTTTAGAGACGTGCAGAAGCAGATAGAATAACGATAAACACATTATTTGGATTCGCTGATGTGTATTCGAAACTTTAATGACAAAATTTTTTTGTCTATGAGATAGTCAAAATTGCTAGTTTTCAAAATATGCTCACTTTTAAACACCGATATCTCAAAAACTAAACGTCCGATTTAAGATTTTGCTATATGACTGTAAAGGGATAGCAACGAGCAATACAAGGTAGGTTCGTATTTGAGAAAAATAAGTTGGGGTAGCTATCCGCTGAAGGGGTAGCTACTGGGGGCTATTTTATAATTTAATTTTCATCGACTGCAACTAGAAGTGCAAATATGGGCAGTCTAATTTGCAAAGTTCTTTAATTTCATTGCAACAAATTAATATTGAGTAATCGAATTCCAGATTCTAGTTAATAGGATTTTCAAAAGTAATTATCAGCAGTGTCACAGATAGTATATCGAGACTTTATTACCCCAAAAAGTTGATAATATTTAAAACAAAACACTAATGATTTTTGAGATCAGCAACCATGAGAAAATTAATTTAATGGCTAGCTCAGATTTTCAAAGATCTTCCCCTAGTCACTGTCTCAAACGAGCATGGCAAAAATCGTGGGTTGTTTGTTTCAGCTTGAGGCTAATATTCTTCCAATAAAAGTCAACTGAATAATTATTAATAAAAAGGTTTATTTAAAGCAGAAATATCAACTCTAGAAGGAGTTGAATAAATGTAGTAAGTATACATAGATAAACGGATTATTTAAAAAAGTAAACACTCAGAAGTAGATAGCCCACTTAACCCTATCCTTATCAGTTAGTATAAATATTTAAAATGTGTATGTGTTTTAAAAAAAAATAAATAAAGAAGAATACGTTGGCTTTTAAAAATTTCAATAGTAGCTGAACAAATGTGGTCATTACTGTGCACAAGATATGGTAAAACTTGAACCACGCGAAAATGGGAAAAAAAGTATAATAACACCCCTAAAATTAAAGGTAGGTATGTGAATTTAAAAGTTCCCACTCCCGCACAATACATGAGTCCTTCCAAAAATAACAGTAAGTACTCTAGCTGATAGAATTGAAACAAAAATAATAATAATAACGGTCCTTGACCACTTATATAGACCCAAATGGCACTACAAATAATCATTTGACCTTAGAATACTGGATTTAATTCAACAATAAAAGCACAACAATCGTTATCGTTACGTTTCTCAACTTAGAAACAATTGAATTATAGTCAAAACTTCCAATAATTAATTCAGCAAATTAAGTTTACTTGTGCTTCTCTCGACTTAGTGGTAGTAGCGATGGTAATATAAGTACCGTGGCCCGTATATCAGGACCTCGGACGCAATGTTTCCCAATAATATCCAAACAGTGATAACATCAACAGGAATGCAATCTTGGACTACTGGTGCCCAGTAAGATGACGAGTTTCCCCTGGGTCCTTCAACAGTGATTCTGCACCCAGCCAACATATAGAAGGCTTCGCAAAATAGATCAGGGTTGGAAAAATCCGGCGTGACCAAATATCTTTTTTCAGGTCGTAAAAATCCTAAATTTTAACAGCAGTGGCTCCTAAGCCACACCAAGTGCATTCAGCATAAATCAGCAATTTAAATCGACGGTTCCTATCGACGGATTTTACTATGTTTAAGTTTCAGATGATCCCGAAATAACGGATGGCTCCACATGGCCAAAAATTCTGAAACTTGAACAGGTCAGCACTGGATTTAACTAAGATGTTCTTCAGATGGTGATAAGAACTAGAAGGGGTCTCCAAGAAGTATTTCCTTTACAAGAAAACCCAAGATCTTCTCCTGCGCAATTCATCTTTTTCCAGAATAATTTATTACCTTATATGGTCATAATTATCGAAGAATATCTTCCAATGAAAAGAAAATCTACCTTATCGGGAGAGATCAAAAACCACGGAACAGAAAGAGTACCCCGGAAATTCCGCAAATTAACCATATCGAAATCCGCAAATTCCGACGCAACCTAAACCAGAATTCGTAGTTGCTAGAAAGTACACTAGGGTCACTAGGTCAAACTTCCGACACCTAATCAAGTGTTGATAAATAGTAGGACGAACCTCAAGCAATGAAAACGACCAAGTAGATTATTATTAGAATATTGGAAACCCGTATTTGCCAAAAAAAGTTGTATTGAGTTGTATTCAACAACAACCAGACACGCTAGCGATTATGTAACACACCCATAAAAATATTTACAACAAATTAGGATACTACTGGAGAGCATTACGTTGATAAATTTTATTTAATGATAAGGTAGGTAGGTAGGTATCCAGTATTTGGTATAGCTTATTAAAAATCAGTTACAGTGAGATTTTAGACTGTTACAACTACAAATAATGGCTACATTTCCAGAAGCATTATTCGGTTTATTCGTCCATTTTCAATGTCGAATTGGACGGGTTCCGTGTTAGTTGGTCGAAGAAAAATATTTTTTTTATTATAAATATAGGTATTGAATGGAACGGATTTGTGTAAATTTATTACATTGAGCATATTCTCCCATTCCATTTTGTGTTCTTTGCTTCGATTTCTACAAAGTGTCTTCCCTAAAAATGGAATGCTAGAGACAGCTATTTGGCTTTAGAAGTATTCAGGAGAGAGAATTCAAATATGCAGACTCCACTAGTAGGCTTAATCCGCGTCTTCAAATACTTCTAAAATTATCACATATTCCAACTAGAATTCTTAGAAAAACTATATTTCCAGGAATTGACCATAATTTATGATTTTCTGCAGGTATAAATAGGGGTGTAAATTCCTCAAAGGCCATTCTTATTTCAACAATCGCGTTGTCAACATGTATTCTTTGCTTCCTTTTATCACTGCTAGGCTTCCAGAAATGCCCATAGAAGTATGGTGCAATATTTTAAGGATGCTGGATTCCAAATCATTACTATCTGCTGTGAGGAGTTCGTCATCCTTTAGTTACATGGCTCGGGGAGATCCAATACTAAGGCAAAAGGTCAGAAGTGCAATCGAAGAAGAAAAAAAAGAGATTGTCGCGCTTCTTAGAAGACCAGAATTAACCTCAAGAGTGGAAAGATCATCTAAACAAGCTGAGTTATATTCCAAAAACTCCCAGAAGAAGACGACTATAAGGAAGGAACCAAAAATGTTCAAAGTTTGTAGAGTTGCCACGAAAGAGCCGTCAGATTTGAAAATCAGAAGCAAAGTTTGTAAATCATCTAGATTTAATCCTTATAGGATATAGGAGTTCGATATTTTATGACAATTATTAAATCAATAAAGTAAACAAATTAATTTAAAAAGATGTATGTATTTTTTTGTAAAATAATAAACTCGATAACACCAATGCGACATCATCCAAAAAAAAATACCTAAGTACTTTTATCAAAAAAGAGTATTGTCGGCCGTTTTGCCATATAGGTACAGTGTCTCCCTAATTGATGGGGAATGTATTAGGATATAGGAAACTATAACAGATACCAGGAAGGTTAAATGGCAAAAGCTTTAGATAATTATGTTAGACGTTTAATAGCGTTTGCAGATTGAGTCTAGCTATTCACATTTTTGAGATATTTAGAAAAAACTGATAAGTTGGTTTTTTGAAAATAGGTTGTAAATCTTTTATTTTTGAAAATTTCTCAAATCTGTGAAAACACTTACGGAGCAACTCTTTGTGCAGAATACGCATGTGCGATTAGATTTTTTTTTAGCACGTTCCGGTTTTCTTGAACCATCATCAACTTCATTGTTTCTTATAGCCGCCATATTGGATTTTTATTCCATAAAATAGAGTGAAAAAATACAAAATCAATGATTTAGTACACTTGACCAAAATAATTAATTTTGGCCACAGAAAATACGTTTTTATGTTTCGATCAACTTGGCTACGTTGCATTACAGAATATTTAGTATAAGGAAGTAAATTAATTCATAAATACAAATGAAAACAATAAAAATCCACAGGAATGATGTCAAGAGACCGAGCTAGCCAAGGAACTAGACCGCGATTAGCAATTCTCTCTCTAAATGTGTCATGCAAAAATTCCTGAATTTCTTGGGTATTATGAGCAGGGCAACCGTCTTGTTGGAACCAAACCATATCGAACAACGCTTCAGGAGTGATGCTGCTATTGAACAAAATTTTAATGAAAATCCGTCATCTTCGACCCGAGAAGCTGTTAGAAAACTTTACATACCTAAGTCAACTATTCATAGAGTTTTGAAGCAACATAAATGTCTATCACTCGTATAAACCGATCATATAGTGCAGGGCTTTCGAGGAGATGACTATCTAAGCAGGAAGGAGGATCGAGTTTTGTAACTGGTACATTAATGAACGCAATTTAAAGTGTTTTGACAGATTTGAGATATTTTCAAAAATAAAACATTTACAGCCTATTTTCAAAAAACCAACCTTTCAGTTTTTTCTGAATATCTGAAAAATGTGAATAGCTAGACTCAATCTGCAAACGCTATTAAACGTGTAACATAATTGTCTAAAACTTTTCCTGTTCAACCTCCACCGTATCTGTTGTAGTTTCCTATATCCTAGTACATTCCACATCAATTTGGGACACACTGTATAAATATTAAATTTAGATGATTTAGATTGCCACCAAGACAGCTAATAATAAATAAATCTTGGAATGCTTCCTAAATATATCTCCGTATTCAAATTCAATTTTTTTGGAATTAATTTCTTAAAACAGAGATTAATTAATTGGATTTTTCAGTCCGGCTAATAGGTTTTCCAAAACTAATTAACAAAAATATCACAAATTTTATATGGAAACTAACAAATAATGGCGACATTTCCAGAAGCATTAGGTATTATTCGGTTTATTTATTTATTTGCAAATTCATATTGTCCCTGTTAGTTGGTTGAAGAAAAATGTATTTTCTATATACCTACTTCTACAATCATCACATAGATACTCCAAATTATCCTAGAATTCTTAGAAAATTTATATTTCCAGGAATTGGCCATAATGTATCACATTCCGCAGGTATAAATAGAGGAGCAAGCTCCTTAAAGGTCATTCTTATTTCAACAATCGCGTTGTCAACATGTATTCTTTGCTTCCTTTTATCGCTACTAGTATGCTTCCAGAGATGCCCATAGAAGTATGGTGCAATATTTTGAGGATGCTGGATTCTAAATCATTACTATCTGCTGTAAGGAGTTCGTCTTCCTTTAGTTCCATGGCTCGGGGAGATCCAATATTGAGGCAAAAGGTCAGAAGTGCAATCAAAGAAGGAAGAGAAGAGATTGTCGAGCTTCTCGGAAGACCAGGAATAACCTCAAGAGTAGAAAGATCATCCAAACAATGTGAGTTATATTCCAAAAACTCTCAAAAGAAGACGACTATAAAGAAGGAACCAAAAATGTTTAAAGTTTGTAGAGCTGCCAAGAAGGAGTCGTCAGATTTAAAAATCAGGAGCAAAGTTTGTAAATCAGCTAGATTTAATCCCTATCGGATATAACAGTTCGATATTTTAGGACAATTATTAAATCAATAAAGTAGGCTTATTAATTCAAAAATTTGTATTTGTAAATTTGGTTAAACTCTATAACATTCATGCGGCATTTCCTATATTTTTCTTCTTTCTTTAATATTAGGTACATTTATTTTAAATAAATTATTTTAATTTCTTACAAAAACCAAAATAAAATGTAGAAAATTAATGCTATTTTGGAGAATATTAGCTGCTGGAGAAATGAAGCGGAACAAGGGAGTTTCTAGTTTTACTTTGGATTCCAATACTACGCGAACTAAAAAAAGAAATGAATAAGTGGTTTGCGTAATTTGAAAGGTAATTTTGCAAACCGTTCATTGATTTCTTTTTCAGTTCGCGTAATAGTGGAAATTGAAGTAAACCTGAACATTCGCTTGTCCCGTTTCATTAGTCCAGAAGTTTATTTATTTCTGAAAATGGCAATTATAAAAAAAAAAAAAATATGAATGGCATTTCAAAAAAATATATCAACTGCAAAGTAACATTTTGAACTTTATAAGGTAAATTGAATATAAGCCTCCTTAAACCATAGGTACCTTTTCGTAAGAATCTGTAATCAGCTGTCCGGTATGAATCTGTGAAAAAGTTTTATTTTTTATAACTTTTGAATACAATTTCAAATTTTTATTTCCTAATTTGAATAATATCTAATGAATAATACCTAGATACTTTTATTTTATATTTTGTCATATAAGTAGGCAAACAATTTAGATTTTCACAAATACAGCTAATCTTCAAACTCTAAACGTTATTCTATTATCATAAATAATTTCCCCAAATATACATATATCTACGTATTTAAATTCAATTTTTTTCACACGAAAACATATCGAGGCGATTTCCAGAAGCATTATTATTCGGCTGTCAGTCATCAGACCAAGAACTCTATAAAACCCATGCGACATGTGTTTCATACAGTTCAATCACAATTAAAAAAAAAAACATATCTACAAATTTAAATTGATTAGTTTAATTTATTGATTCAATAATTGTCATGAAATGTCGAACTCTTATATCCGATAAGGATTAAATCTAGATGATTTACAAATTTTGCTTTTGATTTTTAAATCTAACGACTCCTTCTTGGCACAAACTTTGAACATTTTTGGTTCCTTCCTTATAGTCGTCTTCTTTTGGGAGTTTTTGGAATATAGCTCAGATTGTTTGGATGGTCTTTCTACTATTGTGGATATGCCCGGTTTCCTGAGCCTAGCGACAATCTCTTCTTTTTCTTCTTTGATTGCATTTCTAACTTTTTGTCTTAAAATTGGATCTCCCCGAGCCATGGAACTAAAGGAAGACGAACTTCTTACAGTAGATAATAATGATTTGGAATCCAGCAGCCTTAGAATAACGCACCATACTTCTATGGGCATTTCTGGAACCATACCAGTAGTGATAAAAGGAAGCAAAGTATACATGTTGATAGCGCGATGGATGAAATAAGAATGACCTTTGAGGAGCTTCTACCCCTATTTATACCTGCTGGAACTTATAATTTTGGTCAATTCCTGGAAATATGATTTTTCTAAAAAATCTAGGGTAAATTGGAGTACTTATATGATGATTTTATAATTATTTCAAGACGCAAGCATACTAAAAGAGTGTGCGTATCTGAATTCACTCTCCTGAATGCCTCTAAAGTTAAATAGCTGTCTCCAGTTTTCCATTTTTGGGGAAACACTTTTGAAAAATCCAACCAAAGAACGCAAAATGAGATGAGAAAATATTCTCAATGTAATAAATATGCACACAAATCCATTCCATTCAATACCTATTTTCATAAAAAATTAATTTTTCCTTAACCGACTGACACAAACTCCGTCCAATATGATAATGGAGATAAATGAATGAAAGGAATAATGATACTTCTGGAAATGTCGCCATTATTCTTTAGTTTCGGTATATAATTTGTGACAGTTTTGTTAATTATTTTTAGAAAACCTATTAACCAGAGTCGGAAATCCAATTATTTAATTCTTGTTGTAATCAAATTAATTAGCTTCGCAAATAAGACTATCTGTATTTGCACTTTCAGTTGCATTCGGTAGAAACGAGGGTAGAAATTATAAACCATAAAATTGGTTTTGATAAAATAAAAATGTAAATATATTTAGATCACGTTTCAAAAATTATGTATGATGATAGAATAACGTTTGAGGGAGATTAGCTGTCTTTGTATCTAAATCATATAAATTTAATCCCTGTATGACAAATAGGTCGACAAAGTTTATTTTAAAAAAAAAGTAGGTATTATTCATTATTAAACCGGTACACTTATCCAAATTTTGCAGACATAAATATGTAGATCTTCTCCAAAATAGCATTCAAATTCTACATTTTATTTTAATTTTAATCAAAAATTCAATCAAATCATACAATATAAATGTCATATTAAAGAAGGAAGTCTGTCAGTCATGCAAAAGTTCAGTAGGTAACATTACTAGAAATGTCGCATGGGGGTTATAAACTTTAATCAAAATTTTACAAGAAAATACATATAAGTTCTTGAATAAATAGTTTACTTTATTGATTTAATAATTGTCATAAAATGTCGAACTCTTATATCCGATAAGGATTAAATCTAGATGATTTACAAACTTTGCTTTTGATTTTTAAATCTGAAGACTCCTTCTTGACAGCTCTACAAACTTCAAACATTTTTGGTTCCTTCCTTATAGTCGTCTTCTTTTGGGAGTTTTTGGAATATAACTCAGATTGTTTAGATGATCTTACTACTCTTGAGGTTCTTCCTGGTCTCCTTAGCCGAGCAACAATCTCTTCTTTTTCTTCTTTAATTGCAGTTCTCACTTTTTGCCTCAATATTGGATCTTCCCGTGCCATGGAACTAAAGGAAGACAAACTCCTCGCAGCAGATAGTAATGATTTGGAATCCAGCATCCTTAAAATATTGCACCATACTTCTATGGGCATTTCTGGAAGCATACTAGTAGTGGTAAAAGGAAGCAAAGAATACATGTTGATAGCGCGATGGATTTGATAAGAATGACCTTTGAGGAGCTTGCACCCCTATTTATACCTGTGGAAAGTTAGAAATTATGGTCAATTCCTGGAAATATAGTTTTTTTAAGAATTCTAATTGGAGTAGTGATTATTTTAGAAGTATTTGAAGCCGCGCATTAAACTTACTAGTAGAGTCTACATATTTATATTCCATCTCTTGAATACCTATAAAGTCAAATAGCTGTCTTCATCAGCATTCAATTTTTGAGGAACACACTTTTGGGAAATCGAACCTAAGAACACAAAATAAGCTAGGAAAATATCATTCAATACCTACTTATATTCATTGGAAAATATATTTTTCTTTAACCAACTAACACGGAACCCATCCAATATGAAATTGAAGATAAATGACAAAACCTAATAATAGATTCGACCAACTATGGAGTACTGCTCACATATATGGAGTGCAGCACCCAAACATACCTTAATGCTTTTGAATACCGTGCAAAAACGAGCTATCAAGCTGATCAATGACCCCGCACTTACTCGTAACTTGGATGGTCTCGAACATCGCAGATCTGTGGGCGATTTATCTCTCTTCTACAGGTACTATCACGGAAAATGCTCCGAAGAGTTGGCACGTATGATTCCACCGAGAGTAGCACCTACCAGGCGAACCCGTCAAACAGACGGTAACCATGAATTTACTGTCAAACTAGAGGCACCAAGAACCTCATTATATCAGAATTCATATCTCTGGAGAACAGCATCGCTGTGGAATAAACTCCCTGCGACGGTTTTCCCTGCAGGTTACAACCTGAACCGTTTCAAGACCAACATACACCGACTTTTCCGCGCACTTGCCGCTTCTCGAGCGTGATAGGACATTTCCTTGCGAGTGCGCATATCCGTAAAAAAAAAAAAAAAAAAAAAAAAAAACGCTTCTGAAAATGTCGCCAATAATTGTTAGTCTGGATTTGCGACACTGTTGATAATTAATTTTGGAAGTCCTATCAACCGGAATCTGAAATTCGATTACTCAATATTAATTTGTTGCAATGAAATTATACTATATTTTATGTATATTATTTGCACTTTGAGTGCAGTCGAAGAAAATTAAATTATATAATTTTTTTTCTCTTAAAAAAAAAACAATTAATTTGTTTGTCTGTTTACTTTGTATAATTTATGGGTGAATTCAAAACATTAGAGAAAATAAAATGTTATTTCAGAGAAAACATATTTATGTATGGAAATGGTTACTTACACCCTATTAACCATGGGTCAATTATTAGTATTTTCGGAGTGATCGCAGAATTAAAATTTAGAAAAATCTCAACAACGTGACAACATTGTATGAGTGCGCATTGGTTGTTTAAAAGTAGTGTACACATTTTATCTCTCACTCCAAAAAGTTGAAGTTATCCCGTTTAATCAAGAGGGAAAATAGCCAAAAGTTACCTGCTTTAAAAGAGTAAGTCACCAGTAACGTATTGTGCCTTTATTCCCTGCACCAAACATTATCTTTGGCTAAATCTTTCTCAGTGCTGCAAAAATTCATTCACCAAAAATCAATCAACTCGGACATGTTCGATGTGCGCAGCTACGGTTCATGAAACATGTGGTCAACTCGCTGATGCCGGGGCGGGATCGCCTGCACAATTCAAATGTCTGAAATGCACTTCGAGCACGAATGCGCCAAAACCATTAACTACGGAGCATTTCCAAGCAATAATGGCCGAATTTTCCTCTCTAAAAATAACCGTAAATGCCTGCGAAGGCAAAATTACTGCTTGCGACGCTAAAATCGAAACGTTAAACCAGCATATTGCATCCCAGGCTGTATCCATTGCCAATTGTGAGACCGAAATTACCAATTTGAAAACTGAGACTTGTTCTCTTCGCAAGGAATTCGATAACTTACAATCAAAGGCGCAAAACTTTGAAGACTTCTTTGAAGAATCTCGAGATCGTACGCGTCGAGAATGCAATGTCATAGTCTCAGGCCTTAGACAAGTGGTAGATGATAAAGCCGAAGTCCAAAAGATTCTAACCGAACAAGTCTGTCACCATGAAATCGGACTTGACCCCACGTCAGGTTCAACATCTGAGTACGCTTCGAAAGGAACTGCAAAAACGTACAGATGAAGGTGAGGATAACCTGACAATCAAATATATACGAGGAGTACCTCGTATTGTGTCATTACGCAGCGATGGAAAGAGAGAACGTGAAGAGAGCGCATCCCCTGGAATCCACAAAAAACATACAGGACCAAACGGCTCTAACGCATTGTAGCAACCATTGAACATTGTTTTTTGGAACATCAAGGGGTTTAATCGCATTCATCACTTTGCAGAGGCCATTCACAACTACGACATAATCTGTTTCTCTGAAACATGGGAGAAGGACGACATTATTCTTCCCGACTATTTATCGCAATACAACGTCCTCTCATCTCATGCTTTGAGAGAAGCATCTCGCTTGCTTCCACCATAATGTCATTCCTCAGGCTTCGATCCTTTTTGATATCGCAGGATTAGAATTTGTTAGAAATATCAACTTTCTCTCTTTTTTTTTGTTGTATAGACCTTTTCCATAGGTACTTTTATTAGGCACCAAAATGTGAAAACTTTATCTTTCGCTTTGTAATTAGATTAAGATTATTTAGATTATTATTATTTTTTTTTGTTCGTTTCTAATAACAAATACGTATCCAAATTCAAAACAAATTATATTCCCTCCTTTATAAGTTTATTTTTGCTTTTGTAATTCAAACCACTACGTTTACTAGATTTAGAGCACTCATTGTTATAGAAAATACTTTCTGGAAACAATAAAAATTGAATTGAATTGAATTGACAACATTGTACAGATATTTATCTCTGCCAGGATATAAATGTAAATAAAACTGGTAAATTTGAAAGGTTTTTTTTTTGCAAGAAGAAGAAGTTTATTTATTTCCATCTGTTTACGTTTTGGCTTGTAATTGGTTTTCAAATAATGTAAATAATAACTTGAATTTTTATCACTTTCCTAATAGAAATTAAAAATCTGCCGTTTTAATAATTTGTAAATTGCACTCAATGACATTTTTGTGCTAAACATTCAAGAGAAAAATTAAATAATACTCACTCAGCTACTTGCCAAATCCTTATTATGAAAATATTGATTATTATTGTGAAAAGGTTCTGAAAACACTCAACACGCAGAGTTTACACACTCGAAACGCAGATTTTGCACACTCACACTATTCTTGTATCACGCAATCCTTGTAAAACGGGCACAATGTTCTTGGTGGGTGCCCTTCTCTTGGGGCATCTTTCCCTCTAAATTCTGTGTAAAAAATGTGTAATTATTTGATAATTGAATAAACTAAATGTTTTTACATCTCATAAATATTAAAATTTTCTTTATCTTTCAAATATTCGTCAAAAAATGTAAAAAACTTCAAATGCCTTTTTCTTAAAAATAGCTGACTTTGGACCCCATGTTGTATAAACCTTTTTTGTTCAAAATTAAATCAATAAAACAGACTAATTCATTTGAAAAGTTGTATGTAATTTTTTTGTCATATTTTGTCTACGTTTGTTACGTTGTTACGGAACTTTTGCATGACTAACAGGCTTTTTTCTTCAATATTACATTTAATGAAGTTGTCGAACGTTTCATATAAATATCAAATATACAGGGTGAATCCGAAATAAGTACGCATTTTGTTATGATAGATAGAGTACAGAAGGACAATCACTCTTTGCATAAGTACATAATGTGTCCGCGAACGTCTCGTTAAGAAAATACAAAGTGTTGAAATTTTCGGAAAATTTTGACTTTTTGCCTTTTGATTCAAAATGCCTCGAGCGATTTTGTTCAAATTTTCAGAGAGTGTTTGCGATGTTTTCAAGCATCTTTCTAAAAAATCCGTTTGAGTTCCACTTTTCTATAGGACCAGACCTAAAGCGACTGTTATTTTTTTTTAAAGAAAAAATTGATACGCCCTTGGGTTTTATGACAAATTAAAAATTATTTTTTGTTTCCTTGTATAATTTTAAACAAAAAAGGTATCCCGAGATTCTCTTGTTCGATGCAACGTTCACGCGATATAAAATAAATATCAATGTATTGTTTGGAAAATCTCGTTGTTCGATACACTCCACTCTGTTAAAAAAATAAGAATCGCACCAGGTCCGGTCCTGAAAAAGTGGAATTCAAACGGATTTCTTAGAGAGATGCTTGAGGACATTGTAAACACTCTCTGAAAATTTGAACAAAATCCCTTAAGGCAAAAAAACAAAATTTTCCAAATATTTCATCAGTCTGTATTTTCTTAACGAGACGTTTGCGGACACATGTAGGTACCTATGCAAATAGTGATTGTCTACTTACTCTATCTATCATAACAAAATGTGCACTTATTTCAGACTCACCCTCATGACTTAGATTGTCATAAAGACAACTAATCTCCAAAAGTTATTCTATTATCACAAATAATTTTTACAAAATTACCTTAACATATATTCGAATTAATTTTTTTTTCAACCAAAAACAATTTCATAACTTAATTTCTACCGACTGCAACACAGATTAAATAATTGGATCTCCGACTCCGGTTAATATGTTTTCCAAAAACAAAACTGTCACAAATTGTATATCGAGACTTTGTTAGTCTCGACATTATTCAAAAAGCATTATTATTCGGTTTATTCATTTATTTGCAAATTCATATCGTCCGTGTTAGTTGGTTGAAGAAAAATTTATTTTTTATGAATACCAAAAACCTATTGAATGAAATGGATTTGTGTAAAATTATTAGATTGAGGATATTTTCCTATCCTATTTTATGTTCATTCGTTCGATTTTTCACAAGTGTTCTTCCAAAAATGGAATGCTGGAGACAGCTATTTGAGTATAGAAACAAAAAGCGTTTAGGAGAGTGAATTCAAATACGCAGACCCCACTATTGTGCTTAGTCCGCATCTTCGAATGCCTACTTCTAAAATCATCACATAGGTACTCCAAATTATCCTAGAATTCTCTGAAAAACTATATTTCCAGGAATTGGTCATAATTCATGACTTTCCACAGGTATAAATAGGGGTGCAAGCTCCTCAAAGGTCATTCTTATTTCATCCATCGCGCTATCAACATGTATTCTTTGCTTCCTTTTATTACTACTACTAGTATGCTTCCAGAAATGCCCATAGAAGTATGGTGCTTTATTCTAAGGTTGCTTGATTCTAAATCATTACTATCTGCTGTAAGGAGTTCGTCTTCCTTCAGTTCCATGGCTCGGGGAGATCCAATATTGAGGCAAAAAGTCAGAACTGCAATCAAAGAGGAAAAAGAAGAGATTGTCGCTCGGCTCAGGAGACCAGGAATAACCACAAGACTAGAAAGATCATCCAAACAAGTTGAGGTATATTCCAAAAACTCTCAAAAGAAGACGACTATAAAGAAGGAACCAAAAATGTTTAAAGTTTGTAGAGCTGCCAAGAAGGAGTCGTCAGATTTAAAAATCAGGAGCAAAGTTTGTAAATCATCTAGATTTAAGCCTTATCGGATATAAGAATTCGATATTTTATGACAATTATTAAATCAATAAAGTAAGTCCATTAATTCAAAAATTTGTATTTGTAAAATTTTGATTAAATCCTATAAGGTGTGATCTTTTGCATTACTGACAGGGGTCTTTCTTTAATGTTACATTGAGGGACGGTTTATCCACCTTCTGATAAACTGTCAGATATGCAATCGGGGGCAGGGGCGTAGTCACCGGTGTTCCGCGTGTTCCACGGAACACGGGCCCGGTAGCTCAAGGGGCCCGGTTCGAAATGTCAATAATATTTTTTCTCCTATTAAGTACCTATAAAAAAAGTATGTGCAGCGCTGTACACGTAGTAGAAGTGGAACTTCTTAAAAACTACCCCCCGGCCCCCCTCATACAACTTTAAGACAGACGAAGTAACTACCACACAAAAGGGAGACGCGCATCTATAGTGACGTCACAGGAGTATTGGCGCTTCACAGTAATAGGCAATCCTCTTTGCGCTTATAATCCTTGGTTTGTGAAATCAATGTTTTAATAGCTGCCTTTCTCCGCCTTTTTACGTCTCATATTTTTCCTCTCTCTCTCTCGTGTAACGAAATTTGCCAAAACGTGACACGTCTTTCAAATCATTGGCCGAGTTCGTTTTTGTCATCTTTTTCATCAATTTGCTCCGAAATTTTGACAGGCACGTGACTGGATAAGACAGTTTCAGTTTACAAATCACGTGTCTGTCAAAATTTCGGAGCAAATCGACGAAAAAGATGATAAAAACGAACTCGGCCATTCTCCATTGTTGTCCAAATATCAGACCGCTGCTTAATGGCGATTTCCATTTATCAGTCAGTGCGCACTGAGTGTATCCGCATCTTTTTCTAAAAGCATGTTACATGTAAGGATAAGGATACATTTTTTTTGCACTGGTTCGACAAATGGAAATCGCTATAAGAAGTTTCACTTCAAAAATACATTTGAAGCTAATTTATATGAAAATAAAAATCATGTGTAGCATCGTTAAGGAGTGAAACTTCTTAAAAACTATTCCCTCCCTCATACAACCTTTAGACTTCCGAGTATCAGTCAAGGTAAAGCACTAAAGGTATCAGAGCTTGACAATAATAGGCAATCCTCTTTGCTCATAATCCTTGGTTTGTGTCAATCGTTCGTCGGCTGTCATTGTCATTGGAGGTCATTGGCTATCTTTCTCTGTCTCTCTACGTTATATCTTTCTTGTCTATCTCGTGTAACGAAATTTGCCAAAACGTGACGCTACGTGACGCTTCTTTCAAATCAGTTTCCATTCTTGTCCAAATATCAGTCCGCCGCCAAAGGGCCGATTTCTCAATAGCAACTCACCCCGGGGTTAGCTAAGCATAACTCCAGGGTAAACATTGCAACTGGACACGTTTACCCTGGAAACCGACTCAAGTTTCACTTCAAACAAAAAATATATATATCTATATCTGTGTAGGTGAAGTCGTCGATTCTTATATTCGTATGTAGACTTATTTGACTTATGATTTCTTTTATTCTTCCACACTTTTCGATTTTACGGCTAGTTGCGTGTCGCATATCTCCAAAATTCATAAGTACGGCCATAGTATGCCAGGTATGCCAACTCAAGATCCTGCAATCCCTGCATTGCGCTTTGTTGTGCTCAAGGTTGTTTGAGAGAAGCAGGTTGCCTGATAACTTTATGACGTCATCTGGGGTGCCGATACATAGTGCAAATCTCTATAAGGCACCTCAGATACGTCATCAAAGTTACCCATTACCAGACAACCTTATATTGAATATGTTCCATACTTTAAGTTCACCCTATATATTTGAAAAAGAACTATATATGTTACTGTATATGCCCGAAATTCGGTAAAACCTAAGATAAGCGCGCTAAACCTAGGATTGACCAAAAGCAAGTGGTAAAAGCCCGACAACTAGTTATTTTGCTTTCATTTCGGACTTTTACCGGACACGAACAGTAAATCTTAGGATTTACCACACCACACCGCATTGGTAAAAGTACGAATACCACTGATACCTACCTACGTTACAGAAATCGATATCGTGAATCGATAATCGTTAAAATTTCAATGCCTAAAAATAAGATACTTTCTAAATGAAACAAAAAGTCACACCAAAATACTTTTTATGTTAATATTCTTGAATGTAAACAGAAATCATAGTTACATTAATTCAGGTACTAATATTGCAGAAAGTAGGCATAGTAATTCCAAACTCAATTGGAACCAGGTACCAACTGATAGCTGACTGGTCACTGAAAAGTTCCATAAGAAATGCACTGCCACTAGTCAGCCACCAGTAATGATTTATGTTTACCTTGTTCCAATTGACTTTGGAAAATTAAGTATGGTTTTTCCAAAGTCAATTGGAACAAGGTATATTATAATATGAAATAAAAAATTTAAAAAAATAAATAAAAAATACAGGGCAAACTTCCATGGTATTGAAAATTGCAGAGTAATTTAGAGGATCTGCACAAACATCTTTTGGTGGAATATTTTCGAATGCAATTGTATTTCTTAAATCATTGGCCACTACATAACGACAATTTTCGCACTGCACTTCTTACCCTAATTTCCTGAGATGGAACATCTCCAGGACAGAAATTTTCTTGACGATTATCGTTTCACGATATCGATTTCTGTAACGTATCAGTGTCATTCGTACTTTTACCAATGCGGTGTGGTAAATCCTAAGATTTACTGTTTGTGTCCGGTAAAAGTCCGAAATGAAAGCAAAATAACTAGTTTTCGGGCTTCTACCACTTGCTTTTAGTAAATCCTAGGTTTAGCGCGCTTATCCTAGGTTTTACCGAATTTCGGGCATTTACAGTAACATATATAACTATCATTTTCCAATTTTTTCATCTCGCAGGAGTAGGGGCCCAGTAAAATTTTCGAACACGGGCCCGAAGCATCGTTACTACGCCACTGATCGGGGGGATAAAAACCCAATCGGTTTTCCATTGGTCGGCCAGTTATCCTCCGACGAATAGAATAATAAAACGGTAAATTTATCTTGCAGATAGATCTATACCATTTCCAAGATTGTGTGAAATCACACTAGTGAAATTAAATTTCAAATTAATGAAAACTAAATTCACATCCGTGAAATCTAATTTCGCTCAAATGAAAATTGATTTCAAAATAACGAAAACTAATTTCACACTTGTGAAAATAAATTTTCCACAAACGAAATTTAATTTCACATTCCCGAAAATAAATTTCGAACTAACCGTAATTAATACTCATTTTTCAAACATTCATTATTTTAATTAAAAAGAACATCAACAACTTAGGCAATTTATTTCACCCTAAACCAACTAAGTTAAATAACATAATCATGAAACAACAATAATAAATATATAGTTATAAATTATTTTAAATAAATCAAACTTCAGTCAAGTCTTCTTCTCTCAGGACTGCTGCGTAATATCTTTCTACATGATTTGCAAAACCTAGCAGTTGTTGTTGTGGAACACCTCTAATAGCTTCATCTGCTATTCTCTCCAAAATTTGCATTCGATGCTCCGATATGGTTAAGGCCAGGTTATTTATTCGAACGTAATTCAAGATTTCAGGAGTTCGTTCCCAGAGAAGATTCTTAACTTTCGATTTGAATGAACTCCACAATAGTTCAATTGGATTAAGTAGGTATGAATATGGAGCAAGACGTAAAATCTCGACATCCTCTTCAGGTTGTAAAACGGTTTCGAGATTTGCGTGTACAGGAGCATTGTCAATTATAAATGTTGGCCTCTCGATACCTCTATTTTTACAAACAACAATTAAGCGTCGAAGCCAAGCTCTACAATCTTCAGCCTTATAGGAACCTCTCCGGTGTTCAAATGATATTATCTGCGTTGAAGACATTGCTCCAATGCAATGCAAGTTATTGCCTTTGCTTGTAGGAATAATTATATGGGCTCTGTGGCCAATTTTTATCTCTCTTCCTTTCGTCGACAGTAGTAGAGCTCTAATCTCCAGAACTCTTTGCACGTAATCTCTGCGCTTTATTTTATTATCGTTGCTATTTAAATTTCCTACCTGTGGTCGAACAGCTTTAACTGAGAATAATTTTCCATCTAACCAATTCTTAATCGTGTTAACACAAACTCGAATGTGGAATTGTTCAAACACTGAATCGGCCAAATTTGCAAGTGTTATGGTAGCGTTTTCTTCAACCCACTCTACTAATGTAGACTCGATTTCGGCAGTCCTCTTCCTGAATCCCAAACTTCCTTTTGGTTTAGGAAGTGGTTGATCCTTTTTTATCCATTCATGTGCAGTACGTACGTTTATACCCAAAGCATCTGCACATTCTCGCCAGTCTTTTCCATCTTCATAGGGTTTCAAAATCCTGGCTCTGTCGTTAGGAGAAATTTTATTATATTTTCCGCGACGTGGCATTTTTATTATAATTTATAATTATTTTTATTATGAGTTAAAGGAGAAACACCGTTGCTAATTGACAAGAACTACTATATAAACGTATATGTTAAAGAAAAGAAAGCTTTGACAAACGTCAAACTTTCAACTTTAAGTATGCTTTAAGTTCAAAGTTTGACGTTTTTCAAAACCACAGCTTTCTTCTCTTTAAAACGAGTATCAAGGGTTAGTTTGAAATGCATTTTCAGGAATGTGAAATTAAATTTCGTTTGTGATAAATTTATTTTCACAAGTGTGAAATTAGTTTTCGTTACTTTGAAATCAATTTTCATTTGAGCGAAATCAGATTTTACGGATGTGAATTTAGTTTTCATTAATTTGAAATCAAATTTCACTAGTGTGAAATAATACTGGAAATGGTATAGATAGATAGATCTTACTAGCAAGTTTATTTGAAGATAAATAAACCGGGCCTTATTTGGTATAAATTATTTTTTTTAATGAAAACTAAAATAAAATTTAGAAAATGAATTTTAAAGAGTTCATAATGTTTATGTCTGCATGTAAACGGCTACAGACAAATAGATATAAAGGCATTTTTTAAAATACTTTGTATAAGAAAGTACATATAATATCAAATGCAAAGCACTGTAGAATTTTAGACTTTATAATGTAAATAGAATATGAGCGTCCAAAAACCATATTTGGAAAAAGCTGTTATCAGCTATAACCCCCTATAAAAGTATAAAAACGTTTCCTTTTTCATAACTTTTCAATACATCTTGAATAAACATCTCCCAATTTGAATATCTAATGAATATACCAACTTTTACATATTAAAAAAAATATATCATAAATAATGTTTGAATTTTTTTTAATATATCTCTGTATTCAAATTCAATTTTTTTCAAACAAAAACAATTTTAATCCTGCAACTGAAAGTGCTAATATAGATTAATTTGCGAAATTATACAATTTAATTGCAACAAAGATAAATAATTGGATTTCAGATACCGGTTAATAGGGCTTCCAAAAATAATTAATAAAACTGTCACAAATTGTATATCGAGGCTACATTTCCATTCATCAGACATCTACAACTTTTAAATTAATTAGTTTACTTTATTGATTTAATAAATTGTCATACAATGTCGAACTCTTATATCCGATAAGGATTAAATCTAGATGATTTACAAACTTTGCTTCTGATTTTCAAATCTGACGACTCTTTCTTTGCAGGTCTACAAACTTTAAACATTTTCGGTTCCTTCCTTATGGTCGTCTTTTTTTGGGAATTTTTGGAATATAACTCAGATTGGTTGGATGATCTTACCACTCTTGAGGTTATTCCTGGTCTCCTTAGCTGAGCGACAATCTCTTCTTTTTCTTCTTTGATTGCAGTTCTCACTTTTTTCCTCAATATTGGATCTCCCCGAGCCATGGAACTGAAGGAGGACGAACTCCTCACAGCAGATAGTAATGATTTGGAATCCAGCATCCTTAAAATATTGCACCATACTTCTATAGGCATTTCTGGAAGCATACTAGTAGTGATAAAAGGCAGCAAAGAATACATGTTGATAGCGCGATTGTTGAAATAAGAATGACCTTTGAAGAGCTTGCACCCCTATTTATACCTGCTGAAACTTATAAATTATGGTCAATTCCTGGAAATATGATTTTTCTAAGAAATCTAGGGTTAATTGAAGTAATATGATGATTTTATAATTATCATTTCAAGACGCAAGCCTACTAGAAGAGTGTGCGTATTTAAATTCATTCTCCTGAATGCTTCTAAAGTTAGATAGCTGTCTCCAGCTTTTTATTTTAGTGGGAACACTTTTGAAAAATCCAATCAAAGAACACAAAATGAGTTAAGAAAATATTCTCAATGTAATAAATGTAGATACAAATCCATTCCATTCAATATCGCCTATAGGTATTCATAAAAAATAATTTTTTCCATAACCCGGACTAACACAAAACTCGTCTAATATGACAATGAAGATAAATCAATAAACCGAATAATAATGCTTCTGGAAATGTCGCCATTGTTTGTTAGTTTCGATGTACAATTTGTGACAGTTAATTATTTTTGGAAAACCTATCAACCGGAAGTCGGGAATCCAATTATTTAATATTTGTCGTGATCAAATTAATTAGCTTCGCAAATTGGAGTAGGTATCACTTTCAGTTGCACTCGGTGGAAATTATAAAATCGGTGTTGTTCTGAAAAAATATAGATATATTTAGGTTACGTTCCAAAAATTATGTACGATAAAAGGATAACGTTTGGACAAAGTTCACGTTTGGGAGAAATTAGCTGTCTTTGTATCAAAATCATATAAATTTTATCCCTATATGATACATAGGTCGTTATACACAGGTATTATTCATTTAACAGGTATCCAAATAGCATTGAATTTCTATATTTCATTTTAATCAAATTATACAATATAAATGTCTTATTAAAGAAAGAAGCCTGTCAGTCATGCAAAAGATCAGTAGGTTCCATTATTGGAAATGTCGCACGGGAGTTATAAACTTTGATCAAATATTACAACAAAATACATATAAGTTCCTAAATGAATAAGTTTACTTTATTGCTTTAATAATTGTCCAGGAAAATGTCGAACTCTTATATCCGATAAGGATTAAATCTAGATGATTTACAAACTTTGCTTTTGATTTTTAAATCTGACGACTCCTTCTTGGCAGCTCTACAAACTTTGAACATTTTTGGTTCCTTCCTTATAGTCGTCTTCTTTTGAGAGTTTTTGGAATATAACTCAGATTGTTCAGATGATCTTACTACTCTTGCGGTTATTCCTGGTCTCCTTAGCCGAGCGACAATGTCTTCTTTTTCTTCTTTGATTGCAGTTCTCACTTTTTGCCTCAATATTGGATCTCCCCGAGCCATGGAGCTGAAGGAAGACGAACTCCTCACAGCAGATAGTAATGATTTGGAATCCAGCATCCTTAAAATAATGCACCATACTTCTATGGGCATTTCTGGAAGCATATCAGTAGTGATGAAAGGAAGCAGAGAATACATGTTGATCGCGCAATGGATGAAATGAGAATGACCTTTGAGGAGTTTGCACCCCTATTTATACCTGCGGAAATTAATAAATAATGGCCAATTCCTGGAAATATAATTTTTCTAAGAATTCTAAGATAACTTGCAGCATAATATGATGATTTTAGAATTATTGCAAGACGAGGACTTTGCTTACCAGTAGCATCTGCTTATGTGAATTCACTCTCCTGAATGCTTTTAAAGTCAAATAGCTGTCTCCAGTATTCAATTTTTGGGGAAAAAATTCGAAAAATCGAACCATAGAATACAAAATAGGTTAAAAAAATATCCTCAATCTAATAATTTTATACAAATATGTTTCATTTAATACATGCATTCATAGAAAATGAATTTTTCTTTACCCAACTAACATGGACAATATGAATTTGCATTTAAATGAATGAACCGAATAATAATGCTTCTGGACATGTCGCCATTATTTGTTAATTTCTATATACAATTTATGACAGTTTTGGTAATTATTTTTGGAAAACGTATCAACCGGAATCGGGAATCCAGTTGTTTAATTTTTGTTGTAATCAAATTGATTACCTTCGCAAATTAGATTGTCTATATTTGAACTTTTAGTTGCAGTCGATAAAAATAAAATTATGAAATTGTTTTGGGGTAAAAACAAAATTGAATATGAATATACAGGGTGGCCAATTGAAAACGAAACAGAGGTGATTTCGGGCTCCCCAAGACATTTAAGAAAAAACCCTCGTACCCGTCAATTTTTGATTTAAGGGGGAACCATTTTTTTGGTGTTTTCACCCCCTGGGGGGCAAAGCCCTAGCGGGGGTGACAAGGGCCCCCAAAATTTTAAATGGAATGAGGGGTCGAGTGATACCTTATTTTGAAGCCATTTTTATGTAGATTATAACCCCCGAGTCTCACATCGCTACTATCTACCTAGCCATTACAGGGGCTAATTAAAGTTACAAAAACATGTTGGAATATTTTTATTTAAAAAAATGCTTTAAAAACAAAATCAATCAAGTAAATGCTGAAAATGACCTCAGAAGAAAAAATCTAACGGGCTTAAATCTGGAGAACGCGGGGGCCACTCAATATTGACGAGCCACTGCAGCATAATGGGATGACGCACAATCTTGTTGGAATATTAGTGTATGCATCTGTTATCATTCTCTAGTATCTCCACCAATTCTGGATGAATCGCAACTCCTAACCACTCTAGGTACATTTCTCCTGTTAAATTTATAGGTAAAAAAGGGGCCTATTTACGGTTATCAAAAATGCTAGCCCAAACACTCAAATAATCTACATCTCCATAATGCCCTAGGACGTTATTTCGTACGTATTATACCTGAAAATATTGTATGTATACCTGGAAATATTGTATTAAATAAATATTGTATTGAATATAAAAAAATTGAATTAAATAATGGAGTATAATTAAATGGTATTTTGGTTGATGTGCTACTAACCCCCTTTTTCGTTTTATTTCCTCCTCCCTCACCATTGAAAAACTCATATCCCAATTTTTTTTTTTCAATAAATGGAGCAGCAGTTTGTATATTTCTCTGATGAATGCTCCTTTTTTCTTGAACGGTACGGTGAATCGTCTCAACTGCCGCTATTGGGCTAATTCAAATCCCAGAAAACATATTTCGTGAGGTACATACGCAACATCCCGAGAAATTGAGTGTTTAGGCTAGCATTTTTGGTAACCGTATAATAGACCCCTTCTTTACCTATAAATTTAACAGGAGCAATGTACCTAGAGTGATAAGAAGATGCGATTCATCCAGAATTGGTGAAGATACTAGAGAATGATAACGGATACATGGAAAACCGTCTAATATTCCAACAAAATGGTGCGCCACCCCACTATGCTGCAGTGATTCGCCAATATTTGGACCAAAAGTTTCCAGGACAATGGATTCGAAGGAGAGGCCCCCGCGTTCTCCAGATTTGAGCC